TGAAATGTTCTCTTAATTTGTGAATTTTTGAAATGAAATTGGCATTATTGATAATTGGAGTTTTATTTATATGTGTTTTTCTTCAAGAAATTTTTTAAGTTTAATGAAATTAAAAAGGTAAGATTTGGTAAGAATTTGAATCTAATTATCAAAAATTCTTAAAAACTGATAGAATTGGTAGGCTTTAATAATATTGGGAGAAACGTTGATTTTTTTGATAATTAAAAAATTGATTCTTGTTTTTTTGTTTATTTTATAATAGTTAATTGATAGTAAAGATTTGTTTGAAAGAGTAAATTGTTTATTGTTGTTTATGTTATTAGTTTGATTTTGGATTGAAATTAAAAATTTGATATAAAGAAAAATTAACACACTTTTTGGAAAAAAAACTAATGAAAATATATTTTTTGACTAGTGTTTTAAAAAAAATATGAATATTATTGGAGTTTGTTATTTGGAAAAAGGATATTTGTTTCAAGTAAAGCTTCAGAAAGAGAGAAGAAAAATTTTGTTTTGATAAAGAAAAAGTTATTAGATAGAAATTTAAAGTAGTAAGTTTTTTTGAGTAAAGTTATGATTTTCTATAAAGTATAGTTGTTGTCTCTTGAATTGAAGAGAAAAAAATATTTATATTTGGAATTTAAAAGTTTATATATTGTTAAAATTGATTTTTTTGATAATAGAAGATTAAAATATATGTTAGGTAATTTGAATAAGACTTTATATTTTTTACATAAGTAATTTCTATAATTAAAAAGATTATTAAGATTATTTTCTTTTAATAGGAAAAATATCTTTGTATTTAGTTAATAAGTCATTTGGGTTTTCTGAAAAAGAAGGATTTTCTTTGAAGTAGATATCAGGAAGTTTGTTAAATTTGTAGTAAGAATCTAGAATCCAGAAGGTTGCAATTAAATTGATCTTATTTAATATTGAAAGTTTTATAAGAAGTTTAACTTTAATTTGAAAGGAAATTTCAATTAGTTTGGATAGAAAGTTAAAAAGAAAATTGATAAAATATTTTTTGAGTTTTTTTTTTATAAAGAATAAAGATTGGTTTTTTGATAAAATAGTTAATAAGATAGATAAGAATGCCTGTTAGTTTGTAGTAGGATATATTTTTAATATTAATAATATATAAATATATAATTAATAAAATAATACAGATTATAGTACAAATTTTTTTTTTAATTTGAAGTTGATGAATTATAAGTTGTTTTTTCTTTTATATTTGTCTTAAAAGTTTTTTTTAATTTTGATGAATTCTTTTTGATAGGCTGGCATTAGATTTTTTTTTGAGTGAAAGAGTTAAAAAATATGTAATCTTTGAAACTAATTTTGTTCATTATTGCTTTTAAGTAGTAAGATAGATATTTAGGGATTTTAATAATGATATTAATAGTTTAAATAATGATTTGTATATTGTTTAATACTCAAAGAAGATTATTGACTAGTTTTTTGATATCAGTTCTAAGTGTTTCATATTGTTTAATATCATTGATTTCTTGAAGTTCTGTTTGAACTTGTTGTTTAAATAAAAATAACCAGGCATGTGATATAGTTTTAAATTAAGTAGGAGTTTTAGCAAGTTCATTAAAGTCAATAATATTATCAATTATTATTAGATTTAATTGACTTGTAGAAAGAATTTTATTAATTTCCATATTAAAGTTTGATGTTGTCATGTGGTTATTAAAAGAAGTAGTTGGAATGATATTTGTTTAAATTTAACAAAATTCAAATCAAATAGTTTTATTAAAATATCAATTGTTATATTGGCTTCTATAAGGTTACTGATTTAGATAAAAATATTTGATTTTTTTGAAAAATTTAAAATTTTTTTTAATAATTAATTATAATTAATATTTTTAAATATTAAATTTTAAATATTAAATATATATATTATTATTATTATTATTATACATTTTAAACAATAGTTTAATTATTTTAAAAAATATTATATTTTAAAAAATAAAATTATTAAAATATATTAATTTTTTTATTTTTTTTTTGTTTTTGCGAGACGCATCTCAAATTGTGATCTTTATTAATTGTTGATTCAATTTTTACAAAGTTAACTAAGTATAAAATTTACAACAATAGGGATACATTGAGATATGTTGTTATAAACATTGGCCTACGCTATTAAGATAGATATATTCTACAAAACACTAGTTGGAAAACATAGAAGGAACTATCTATCTATAAATGGAGGGATAGTCCTTTCCATATTAAAGAATATAAAAGATAAAAGAAATTCAAATTTATTAAAGAAAGTGTTACTATAATAATCCTTTCCTACTAGATGTAACCGATAAATTATTAGTGATAATAATTTCAATAAGTATTGACATTGGCTCTATCCTAAACCTGCTGCCATTCTTAATAAGTCGCAAACTTAAATTACTCACTCCGGTCAAGCATTAGCTGCTTTGTGAACAGGGCAACACAGGGCACAACTCCATTATTATAGTATTTGTTGTGATGCTATTATAGTTAAGGTAAATGATTGGCATGGGTAGTTTGGTAATCGGATTTAGGGTTTTTGATTGGTGGTAGTCTTTTGACTGTTAAGAGTATTGATTTCAAGTTTATGTTTGGACGTGAGACAGAGTTATATGGTATTTCCTGATTTGGATTTGTTTTGGTGATACTACCGGAACCCATGCAGGGCACTAATCTCGCACTTTCTCAATCCAGTAGGTTGTTGTGTTGTTTTGATTTAATGAGATGAAACGAAGTGTAATTGGTTGTTTGCGAAATGTAGATCTTTGAATAGGAGTAAACTAATTCAGTTTTTTTGTAAGTGTAAGAGTAATATTGACGAGGACTGAGAACTAATCAGAAGATTGTGATAAATCTGATATTAGTTATCATCAGTAGAAAACAAAAACTCTTGTAGAAAAGATTGTGTTTGATTGTGTATATAATTTTAAAATATATAAAATGGTAGAGTATTTGAATAAGTAAAAAAATTTTCCTTTGTTTGGAGATTGCTTATATAGGCTTCACCCAGTAAAGCAAAGGATTTAGTCAAAGAGGTTTCTGCCCTCCTCTGAACATCCACCTCTCTATGGAGAGTTAATCGACTCCATATACCCTGCAGAAAGCTAAGATGGACTCCTCTCCCAAGAAGAGGTTCTCACTTACTGTTTACTGTTTACCGTTCATGAAATTATCAAAAAAGAAATTTTTTTATGAATTGAAGAGTTGTGGAAGAGTTTTTTTTTTTTTTATTAATTTTTTTATTTAATATACTTTATTATATATTTAATATATTTTAATTCTATTATATAAATATAATTCCAAATAAATATTTAGTTAATATTATTTTTAATATATATTGATTTTAATATATATATATTTACTTAAATATTATTATAAACAAATTAATATTAAATTTATCAATTAATTGATTATATAAAAAAAAATTACTTTTTTTATATAAAATTAAAATTAAAATCAAATATTAAAACTTTATTATTTTTTAAAATTAATAATAATTAAAATTTATACAATATGTAATAATTAAAATTTTAGTTCAATAAAGAAATAAGTTTAATTTAATATAAATAAATTTAAACGTTTAAAAAAACCATTTAATGTTAAGATTAAAAATAACAATAATAATTGTTTTAATAAACAAATAAACAAGTTTTATTGTAAGGATTTTCAATATAAAATAAAGATAAGTTTTATCGAAGATTTGTTTTGTACTGATAACTACATTGTTACAACTTTTTATAATATATGTATATATGTTTTCTATAAAAGATTAAATGAAACGGTCATACTAGCTTGGGAACAGGTAAAGAAAAAAAACATGATGAAATAGAGATTCGCTTTTTTTAAAAAATTAAGTCATTGATTATTAAAAATTCGAAATTATTGACAGCTTATTAGGTATCTATTTTTAGCGATAGTACAAAGAAATTTTTTGGCTAAGAAAAAGTTGTCTAAAATTAGTGTCCGGAGAATCGGACGTTCATTCATTCCATCATTGTATATCATTGTATCATTATCATTTTACCCCTTCTCTTCCCTGAATCAGAATTTTCTTCCCTTCTCATACATCATCCGAAGGGTGTCAATTCTGTAAGGTATAGTTCATCCTTTATTCGCCATATTCGCAGATTCCTTCACTTATTCGACAAGCGACCACGCGCTCAGGGGATTATTGCTTGACTCCAAAACTGATTGACCGAGTTAACTCATCTGTTTATAGGAAACATGCATGCAGTTCCGAACCTAGATGTAACATTTTTCAATAAGATTCTTTTTTTTTTGCATCTGATTGAGCACAAATTATATAAAATGCATATCTCTTCCAGTATAGTCATATGTAAATATGCAACATTACACAAACATTACTTTATCTAATAACGATAAAGTTAAGATAGAATATGTGATGCTTCATATACATACATAAAAGAGATGCCCATTATACGTATAATGCATACAGCAACTGTAACCCCTTTTTTTTTGCACTGCCTCAAAGGACCTGGCACCAAGAAAGTTTTTTTTTTGGTACACAGACAGGAGAACAAATACCAAATACGTTATTGGTGCACTGTCTCACTTGGTTTTTTGTCAACTGTACGCACAGGTGAGCCTTTAAAAAAAAAAAATTTATTAAAGCCTCTGAATTATCGAAAAAATTTGTGATCCCGTTTTTTTTTTGATTCGAATTCTTTTTTACGTACACTCCACTCACAGGAAACTCCTTTTTTTTGGTATTGTTTCTTTCACAACAGATTAGCGTTTCATTAATATCATCATCAGAATCAAGTTATTAAATTAAACACCATAAAAGATAATAGAGAAGTGTAAAAAGGACAATTAATTATAACAAGCATTTGTACCATTACCACACGGAATATTCGATTGTAGAATAGCAACTTCATAGAAGACTTTTTTCTTGGGAACAAACAACTTTGTAATATCAATAAATTCATTTTCATACCTACAATTATATACCATTCAGAATTTTTTTGACAAAAATGGTTCAAAGACAACCACCGAGGCAAGAACAAAATATATACTCGCCTTACTATTACCCCAGTTTCTCGCGCTACAACTACCCTTCAAAGATTGGTGGTGACGAAGAAGTATACACGGAACATAAATATTCCTTTCCACGTTGGGATGACGATGCCTCCTGTACCACCCCCACAACTCCTCGTCCCCGTCTCCGTCGAGCCTCTCTTTCTGATTTATCTGAAGAAGACCAGGATTATTTTGATAAGGAAGCGAAAGAACCTTTACAAACATCACAAGCATTGGATGATGATCCCGAGACGGAACAGGATATCGAACAAGAAGATGAAGGGGAAACAAGTTGTGAAAAAATTCAGGTGGATATCGAACTAGCACGTCGCGATCAAAAGACCGACTACGACCAGTTCCGCAAAGTTTATGCAAATTTGGATGACGACCTTCGCGCTTTGCAACGCGAAATCGAGGAAATAGAAGCTGCTTGTTTAGCTAGAGGTTGGGATTTAACAAAAGATCAAGATGAAATTGTTCTAGAATCGGAATCAACTTCGTTATCTGATCTATCTACATTGCCATCTTTTGGTCAACGATACAGTAACAAGAATAGAATGAATCGTTCTGGAAGTTTCAGTGGCAGCTCCAATGGAAATGGTTCGTCGAAAAGTCGAAGGTGCTTAGAAGATGGATGGAAGCAGGAAAGGGTACATCGAAACGAATGGATTCGGTGTTGATTACAATTTTTGGCTTTATAAAATAATTAATGCTTTAGATAAGGCACAACATTTACACACGCATATTTCCGAATTTAATTATTACTTGAGCGGAAAGAGTTAATGTTTAACCACGACAATGGATTTGTCTTGTGTTATTCATAAATATAATACGTATATACACTTTTATGTAATTATGTATACTTTTATTCCTTCCTTCCCTCCATCCTGTACATATATATATAAACTCCATTTGATATTCTCTTACTCTTTCTTCGTACATAAATTTTTTACTTTCCAAAGATTTCGTACATACAAACACCCTCACATAATTTCATGTTTCATATATTTTTGCTAAGGCCGCTTGTAAATAAAATATTCTTTTTTTAAGAAAAAAAAAAGAATCAAATTTTAACGAAAGCAACGAATTTGGAATTAATTAAACAGAGAATTTTACCATTTAATTCGTTGAATAAATCTTTAAAGATCTTGCAGTTTTAAGAATTATTTTATGAATTTAAATGAGTTCAATAAGTTCTTTGTATTTTTATTGTAATAAACTAAGATTTTTTTTGAATCTTTTATTTATTTATTTAAACTTGTTGAGTTTATTTTATAAAATAATAATTTTATATTCTCGGTTATAATTAATATAATTTTTTATTTCTAATTTCTAATTCAAATATTAAAAGTTATAAAAAAAAACAATAAATAATCTATATTTTTTAAATATTTAATATTTTATTTTTATTATATTTACAAAATTATTTAAAATCTTATTTGAAATTTTTATTATATTTTTTATTAGAAACTATTTGAATTTTGAAATATTTTAATCTTATTTATATATATTTTTTTAACAATAATCTAAAAATTTTTAATATTTAAGTTTAATTTATTAAAATAATTTATAAAAAATTATTTATAATTATTTTATTAATTTTATTAATATATTTTGAATTATTATCTATTAAGATAAAAATTGTTTTCAAATATTTAATTTTATAAAACATTAATATAAATTTTATATTTGTAATTTTTTGAAAAAAATTTTTTTTTTCAAAAAATATAAATTATAATATTTTTATTTAAAAATATTAAATAATTATTTGTTATTTCAAGTAATAAATTATTTTAACTTTAAAAAACAAAAAAGTTTAAAAAACTTATTAAAACTATTATTTTACTTTTATTTTATTCCT